ACACTATTATTATTTTCTAACAGAACATCATTTATCAATAATACTTGTATAATTCTTTTGTCAATTGACCGATTAATTACAATATTTACATTGATTATCTATTATAATATAAACAAGTAACGGGAGATAACTCCTTCAACCATTTCACTACTACGTGAGAGTCGAAGTAGTTTTTTACGTTTCATGTATCCTTATGTCAGAATCGTTTAATCAAATGCTCAGCTGCCTCCATAAACCCCTACTCGCGAAATGGCGGAGTCTACGGAGACAGCCGCCATTTTGGACCCGCTTCAGATTTTTGAATGTTAAAATCTAGACTTTGGATTTGTCAATATTCAAACAGATTATATATTAAACATCATTGCAAAGGTCTCTATTATCCAAGCTCAAAATACTTCAAAAATATTGAAAAACAAAAAAGTTAGAAAAATCGACTTTTTAAATTCGCATCTGGTAACAACAGGAAGTACTGACGACGAACGAAATGTTGCATCCTGAATAGTAATTACGACGATCTATCACCCCTGAAAGTTTCATTTTGATATCTTTTACCGTTCTTGAGATAATCCATGGACAAAATGTCATTTTAAAATCAGGAAATGTCCCGTAACTTGGCACCGGAAGCGAATCTTCAAAAAATCTCTCGGATAAAATAACTTCATTTAATAACACATTGTTTCCCTAAATTCCATAAAAATCCATCCAGCAGTCTTTGAGAAATTTCGTGCACAAAATTAGATGGGCGGAAAAATAATAATAATAATAATAATAATAATAAGAAACAGTAGAATCACTATAAGGTCTTCCGTGAAGACGGAAGATTTAGAAAAGAAACTCATTGCGAGCAACGAGAGGTCTTCCGTCTGATTCTGAAAAAAAAATTCCGCAAAATCGAGCTGAAAAAAGTGATCAAACTTCTTATGGAAACAAATGGAATTAAACCCGAATTGCCAGCGTGAAAATGCAGTGCGCTTACTATTAGGCTATTGGGACCACAGCTCTAAATGTATTTGTATATGTATACTTCTGCAACATTACATCTGTCAAAGAATAATGAAAGGCGAATCACTATTCTTAATTTTGCGTCAAACACCACGAGTAAATCTTTGCACCTTTTCTTTGGAATGTTCCATTTAATAGTTGTGATAGCTTCAATGGAAAGAAAAAAAGAACGTTCTTAAGCTAAAATATCAAAGTGAAGACAGTATAATTAACACATTTTACAAATTTCATACTGTATATAAGCATACTGTATAAAGCAGTGAAACATAACTGTTTCACTGCTCTAGTGTTACTTGCTTATATGCATTTTCAACTTTTTAAAATTTCCTGTTTTTCCCCTAAGTGAACTATCCCGATTAGCTAAGCTTTCATGAAAAGGTTGAAATGTTTTGCCGAAAAACATGTGTCGCCCGAAGACAGTCAATGAATCGGATACCATTTATGCTCAATAACTTGAATCAGATCTTTGAGACAAGAATGTTAATATAAACTTCATTTAGCGATCTTTTAAAAAAACTGTTCTCTTGTTTTGTCTTTTCTATTATTTTCATAAGACACAAGTGTGCATGGGAAAAACAGATTGTAATTTTTATAAACACTATATTCATTGATATTGTTTCTAGAAAAACTATTACTTATAACTATGATTTAAGATCTCTTTTACGTTTGCAAATCAGAGTTTACCAGTAGTAGGTATCGAATTTCATTTTCACATTTAGTCTTTTCTTTTTCTACTTTGAGAACCAGCCAAAACCAATTATAGAAGACATTTAAGAAGAACATAGTTCGACACAGAATTGCAACGTAACTACGACGTGACAATCCAAGTATTCCTTTACGTTTTATTTTTCCTTGTCTTACTTTCGTTAAGCAAACGCTAAACTCCGTAAATTTGCGAAATGTCAGAGTTGATGAGACAGCCGCCATCTTGGACCCGCTTCAGATTTTTGAATGCTGATATCTAGAATTTCGATTTATCAATATTCAAACAAATTATATAGTGAGCATTATAAGAAAATTTTCTATTAATATACCAAAAAGAAATGAAAAATTTTGAAATTCAAAAAAAGTTAGAAAATACGATTTTTCAAATTTGCATCTCGTAACGACCGGAAGTATTGACGACGCAAAAAAAGGTGATTCTGCAAACCAGAAAGTCACGAACTATCATCTCCAATAAGTCTCCAGTTAATATCTTTGGTCATTTTCGATAAAAAGGGGCGACAAAACTGCATTTTAAAATCAGGAAATTGTCCATAACTTGGCAAAGCGAATTTTCCAAAAAACGGAATTTTATATAAAATTCATATAATGACGAATAATGAAAATTTCATTGAAAAAAAGTTCTCGAGAAATCGCCTGCACAAAATTTTGGTCAAAAAAAGAATAATAACTAGATGCGATCTCGTTGCGAGCAACGAGAAGGTCTTCCGTCCGAGTTGTAGAGATATAATTAAACGAGCAATATCTGAAAATTATAATTTTCGATGAAATTCATCAAAAGCAGGAATTTATCGTAATATCCGATTATCGTATTATCGGAATGACTAATACAGCGTAAAATAATTTTCGACTTATATACCGACAAATAGGAATGTTCTAGAATAATGACGTCACATGCGCAATTAGGATGCGCGTACGGTCAAATATTCAAAATGGAGGATATCAATATATAAGCTGTCATATCATTGGTTGACCAATCACAGCCATCGTTAAATGTCCACCATTGTAACTAAATATAAGTTGTTTTTTAAAACGCGAGGACATGTTCTGTCAAAACAGAATGCTTATAGATATGAGCTAATAGTTTCTGAATTAGTGCATTAAAAATCACAAGAAATATACCGTTGGAAACCTCTCAAAAAGATCTATATGAAACTGATCTATCGAACAGGTGTGATAGCTTCAATGAAATTAAATATTAAATTAAACAACTTCTTATCGCCTTTATTTGTTTCGACGCTAAGAAAGTAAATTTAATACATTACACACACTTATCTACCACAATTACACTAAAGCAGTGAAACGGAAATTAAGTTTTAAGATTGTCAGTGAATTGCAGCGTACTGAAGGGTGAAAGTCCATGTAGTTTTTTTACTTGTCATGTATCATTTAGTCAAACGCTCAGCTGCCTCCATAAACCCCTACTCGCGAAATGGCGGAGTTACAGAGACAGCCGCCATCTTGTTCAGATTTTCAAATATAAATATCTAGAGTTCTGATTAACCAATGTTCAAACAAATTATATATAAGCATTGATCAAAGGGTATTATCATTCCAAAAATGAATAAAAAATGTTGAAAAACAAAAAAGTTGAAAAATACGATTTTTTCAATTTGCTTCTCCTGACGACAGGAAGTATACGACGAACGAAATGTCGCGTCCTGGATGATAGATATCACGATCTATTATCCCTGAAAGTTTCATGTTGATATCTTTTACCGTTTTTGAGTTTAATCGCGGACAAAATGTCATTTTAATTTCAGGAAATTGTCCGTAACTTGGCACCGGAAGTGAGTTTCCAAATTTTCTCTCGGATATAATAAATTCATGTTACAACACATCTGTCCTGAAAATTTCATGTAATTCCATCCAGTAAGAAATCGCGTGCACAAAATTAGAAAGTCAAAAAAATAAGAAAAATAATAATAATAATAATAAGAAACAATAGAATCACTATAAGGTCTTCCGTGAAGACGGAAGACCTTAATAAGAAACAGTGGAATCACTATAAGGTCTCCCGTGAAGACGGAAGACCTTAATAATAATAATAAGAAGAAGAAACCGAGTAAAAACAATATGTTCCCAAACTCCGTTTGGGGAACATAATTAGGGGGTGAGAAGTGCACTAAAAGAATATAAGAAAATTTACAACATCTAAGAGTAGACTTTCAAATAGCCTATACAGAGCAAGAAATGTGACACTAAAAAAGAAGGACTTAGGTTTTCTGTTGTCCTAGCAGGCTATACCCTTGATGTTGACAAGTCTCACACCAACACAGGTACTAGCATCACTTAAAAGATATCACTGAATACACTTAATTAAGCACAAAAAATACAGTACATAAAAAAAGTTCATTTTAAAACAAATCTGAAAATTAAAAAAATATGCTCATTTATTTATTAAAACAAAAACAAAAAAAATCTAAAAATCTGTTTTTTGGAGGGAAAAAGCTATCATCACAATGACAACAACTACTCAGTGTAAACAATCATCTGTTTGTACAGATACAGCTATGACACAGTGGGGTGCTGAGGATAACTTACAGTGACCAGGGTCCTGGGTGTGACAGCTTGCTAAAGAAGCACAGTAGTTGTCAATGGCAACACAAAACAAAATGGCTAGTACCAATTTTAAAGCAAGCACAAAAGAAAAAAAAACTCTGTGGAATTCATTTAAAAGGATTCCCTTTACAGCATAATTAAAATTTTAAACTAAAGATGGATGCTAATGAAATACTTAGGCTTAATTTATGCAGATATTAGCTTTATGTATTTGCTTAAAATGCTAACATGTATACAAAATTCCTGTTAAAAAATTCCTTTGGGTCCTTTTAATAAATAATAAAACAGAAATATACAAAATCAAAGACATCTTGTGCTCACTACTGAGTTAATGGTAAAAAAAAAAAAAACAGACGTAGGACTATACTGTTTATAAGCAAAGAAAAAAAAGAATAGCCGAGGAATGACGGTAGGTTTTCTAAAACATACAAATTTATTCATTGTTGGATTTTGAAAATATTTGTTTATAATAAATAAATATTTATAGGAAAAAACAATAAAGATCACTCTATATCAAAATGGTTTCCCAGAAAAATAGATTTCCACAGTTTGCACCTTCATCTTGAATGTGGTCATGTGTCACAAACTTTGAATTCACCGTCAGTTAATTGATTCTAATACAGTACCTCTATATACAAGTATAATCCAACCAAAAGGAATGACATTCCATACAAGTTATTTTATGTATGCAATTAACAAAAAAAAGAGATAATTTACTCTCTAAGGTACAAACCTGCAAATGGACCCAGCTTTTCATCTGTGACGATGTCATCCATGCTACTGTTACTCCCTCTAGCAGAGGCCCTTCTCATTACTACTGGTTCCACAGCTTCTGTTGCCTTGGTAACAGGGACTGTGGAATTCTCGGTATCAGCAGTGTGACCTTGACTCTCAGTCAACATGTTGGCCTCTGTAATGGTTTCCATGTCTTTAGAAGACCTCTTGTTCTACAATATTAACATGTGTATGTGTTAATTTTAACATAGTGGTACATTAAGGGCCGTCAACAACTCTCCTCTTGAAATAGTTTACTTCTTAATCAACACTCAGGAAGTGGGTCATAAAGGCAAATAAAGACAAAAGGGGAAGACATGTTATAAAAGCCTTTGTGACCATTAAGACTGACAAGAGAAAAAAAAAAACATGAACGTCCCTTAATACACATGGTCAGTTTACCTGTCAGCTGTTCACAAAATGTAAATTACTTTCTGATACCTTACTTTGTTGTGAAACCTATATCCATATCTATCTCTAAAAAACACTTATCTTTTATCTACCTAATATTCATACCAACTAGTGTCTCAAATCCATCACTTAATTTATTGGCTTTTTTTTTTAATATGAAAATTATGCACTTATTAATGAATAGGATGTTAGCATCTTCGTACTAAAATTATTTATGTTAATATCATAATATATAAAAATAATGTCATCATAATAACAATTTAAGTAAAAGATTTAATTATAATTTAATTCATATATCAGAAAACTAAAGTGTTATTCCTTCGTCCAAGAAAACTTTCATCACCACAAAATTATACACACATCAAGTTTTAATTACAGTAATTACTAAAGGACAATAACTCTAACATCCAATAAATGAGTTTAGTGTCAATATGAATTTGAACCTACATTACACAGTTGCCTGTCAAATTACAACAGCTGGTATGATAACAAGTTGATATACATGTAGATGTCCTTTATGTATTTTTTTTTTCTTTGGCATAACTGCTTCTAAAATAATTCATTTTTACAAATGATGGCATATATTCTAAGAAATTATCAATCTGGATATTATTATAGATTTATTAAAACACCAAATGACCCAATTTGGGCATTAAAATTTAATTTTGATTTTTTCTTATTATATGACACTATATTCAATAAATGTGTAATATGGTTCCCCATGCACTCATTCCAAATCAACTAAACCCCATCCTGGGTGAGAGAACAAGAATTCTTTCACATCATTTGAAAGACATTTCAATGTGAAGATACAGTTTTGTATAATAGTTTTGTACAATTATATGCAATATAAATTTTTTTAGTGTTGTGTAAGCTAGGGGAGGTAATACATATTTACATAGAGTATGTATAAGAAGCCATGTTCACATAATATATGTCAGTACCAGTACAATTGTGTTAGTAGCCTTTAGTTAATGGATGGCCTTACCCATCTCCTTGGCTATTAAGGGTAGATATATAGTGCATTTTAATAAATGAATAAGTGCTAAAAATAAATTGTACAAAAATAACACAGTTCTAAATGTAAAGACCTTAGAAGCAAGGTATGAAATCACTACGTGTACCAGTAATCAAATGAAATCATGATTTTATGATCGTTTTTAACTACATTTAGTTGACTAATCCTGATGTGAAGCCATGTGATATTCAAAATGACTATCTTAAACATGTTTAAACTACAGCTTAACAAAGCTGATGAAACAGACTGATGGACATACAGTTAGACATTATTAAATTTATAGAGCAGTTGTCAATCCCTCGTATAACTTATGGAGTCTGTGTGAAAAGACAAGCCTACAGCTATATGGTTGACTTTCACATTCTTCAGAGTTATCTCTCTTTGTCCATTTGTACATATTGCGTAAAGTAATTCCAAAGCTTATGGATTCCATTCCTATATTGCCATAGTACAGGGTATCAAAGAAAAGATACTGAACATAAATTAGAGCTACAAACATCCGCTCAATAACAATGATTTCTTTTTTAAGGTTTTCATGAATTAGCTCTCAACAACCTTAAATGTGAAGCTGAATTTTTTAAGTACACAAATTTATAGAGCAGTTGTCAATCCCTCGTATAACTTATGGAGTCTGTGTGAAAAGACAAGCCTACAGCTATATGGTTGACTTTCACATTCTTCAGAGTTATCTCTCTTTGTCCATTTGTACATATTGCGTAAAGTAATTCCAAAGCTTATGGATTCCATTCCTATATTGCCATAGTACAGGGTATCAAAGAAAAGATACTGAACATAAATTAGAGCTACAAACATCCGCTCAATAACAATGATTTCTTTTTTAAGGTTTTCATGAATTAGCTCTCAACAACCTTAAATGTGAAGCTGAATTTTTTAAGTACACATACATGCAGATTATTCATACAGAGTCAATTTGGAAAACACTGGTCTATAAAGTTATTAATATTATAGAATGAAAACTGCATTATGCCCATTGACCCCCAATTAACTCTACAAAGGGAAATAACTTTGTAAATGTGAAAATCAATCGTAAATTCTATACATTACATTGAAGCAACCTTACTACATATATGAGCTCAATGAACAAATGATGTCATAATTATCAGCCTGGACATAACACTTACATCAATAATGGCCATTTTTTCCTCAATGCCCACCAGAGCTGTATGGGGTGAAGGGGGAGGGAAGTCGGGGGTGGGGGGCTGGGTATAACCAGTGGGGGTCAAAGGTATTCCTGTTACCTCCTTCTTCCTGCTCAATTCTAAAGACCCTGGTGGCTTGGTACCTTTAAAAATTAAAGAAAGATAAATTGATTATGTATTAAATTTGTCATTGATTTTTTTTTTCTGTTTGAGATTAGAAAAAAAAAATTTAATTAGGTATAAGAAACGACTAAAATCTGACCCCACTAAAATAAGTGAATTTACAGTATTTTTTCATCTGACAATATAATAAACAATATTTCATATGCATTTATAAAACACTTTTTAAAATAATTAATCTGCAGTACCTTGTCCCTCTGCAGCATCACTAACTCCATTAGACAACCTCTCGGACTTTTCTTTTGCCTGATGTAACACAGATTCACTAATGGTCACATATTCCCCACCTGTATTATCACAGACTGGCACATCACAGTTATCCTGCTTTGAAGCACTAACCAATTTTTGTTTATCATGTTTATCCGACCTCATTGAGGGTTTGGGGACAAGTGGGGGTTTAGGTCCCTTTGGGGAGACTTTTGTTCCAGCGGGGGATTTTTTGTCTATAGGTTTGTCACCAACAGTTGGCTTTTTTGGAATGTCTAATTTTTGTTTAGAACGACTTATTGGTTCCTCATATATCACATCCTGTTCAATGGAATCCTTTGGAATGTTACAGTTTCTATCACAGTTGTTCATATATTCAGCCTCTGAGGTTTCTTTCCTTTCCTCTTCAGCTTTTTTGTTTGGTTCACTCTCATTCTTTGGAATGTCTGTTTTTGGTTCACTTTGAGCACTTGGAATGTTCTCAGATTTTGGCCCTGTCTGCATGAAAAGAGTGGCATCATAAGGATTATCTTCTTCCTTTGTTACCTCCCCTGTTGTTTTGGTCTCAAAACCTTTGGAAACTCTCATTGGTATGAATCCTTTGGAATCTCTCATTGGCGTAAAACCCTGAGATTCTCTCACCGTTGACACAGAAGCATTGTTCTCATACTGAATTCCTTCTTCTTCTACTGTTCTTTCACTTTCACTTCCTTCCCGGGCTGTTACAACAGAGGCATTGTTTTCATATTGTGTTCCTGCCTCTTCTTGAATTAAACTCAATTCCTTACCAGATTTGTTGCCTCCTTCAGCCTTTGACCCCCTGACCTCTGACCCTTCCTCTTGTATCCCAGCAGGACATGGAGGGGGCAGATTATCTTTGTCCCTAAATTTAGCAATTTCTCCAGCAAATTGATAAGTATCTATCACATCTTTACGGTCCAATGACTCTCCTTTACCGACAACACTGGAGGCAATCTGGTACGTGTCTATCACATCTTTCCGCTCCAGTGAACTTTTCCTTGTCACGCCTGATGCTATTTGGTAAGTATCAATGACCTCCATCCTGGCTAAGGACGAAGATTTAGTATGCACATCTACATCAGTTTGTTCTTGAGTATTGGGTTGTTTTACTTGGGACATTACTTCATACTCTGTTGTTGGTTCATTTTCTTCTGCAGCACTGTTATCTAAATTGACATCTAAGTTGGTTTGAATAACTTTTCTATCTTTGTTTTCCTCCAAATTCTTTACCTTTTCATCATTCAATTTTTCAACCTTTTCAACCTTTTTAGAATCTTTTAAATTATCACATGGTGCAGGAGCTGCTGTAGAGGAAGTGATGTCATGATCTTTTGATTTAATGGAAGGTTTAGTTAAATCACTTCCTGTTTTTAGAATTTCACTGTCTGAGGCAAGCCTGGTTCTATATGGTGGAGTACTTTCTGGCTTTTCTGGACTTGATTCAGATGTATTGCTTCTTTTTGGTAAAGGGCTTGTACCTTTCTTTTTTCTGAGAGGTTTAACTGGTCGATTTGGCTGAAATTGTATGAACAGAATCAAAATGAAAAGTTCTTTAGTTTTCTGTTATAATACAAGTTATCATATTTATTATACTTGACTTCAGTTATATTATTGCCTGCATTTATGTCTGAAAACAGCTTAAGTAAACTTCAAAATAAAACAAAATTTATGTTTGAAGTCAGGATTTTCACTTTTCACTAGAAGAAAGTACAACATACTGACCTTTGGGCTCTGCATAGGGGATTCAGACATTGCTAAATATCCACCTAGAAATTCAACAACAATGTTACTTTTGAATCACAACAAATAGAACTAAGGGATGCTTTCATCTTAAGTTTCATCTCTAATCAGAAGAATGAAAATTTATAATAATCAAAGAATACATATACTTCCTAGACATGATCCTTATTTTTATGCAAAGAAATAATATGTAATACATGTTTCAAAGATTATCATGATTCTAAACTAAAAATATTTAAACCTATTTTTAAAAGCTGAATACACTTTGTTGCACCAGAAAGTTTATTAAAAAGAACCCTACACAGATTCAGTTATTCATTTGTGACATTTTTTATTCACAAATTGATCACTATAAACCTAATCTAACTATCAATATTTATCATCCAGTTTTCTGTTCATTTTGAACATCTATCAATCTATGTCAGTATGTGATGTGTGTTTGCATCAACAATTTTTGCAAGTCTAGATACTTCTCTAATACAGTGTTTGGATGAAATATGATATACAGTACACAATCACTTCTTTTTTGTTCTTGAGAAGTAATCAGCCATATAAGACTACACTATTCTTATCTATATAGCCTACCTGGTTGTAACTGTGTGGGTAAAAATGGAAATAAATATGAACAAGTTAATTGGTAACTGTAAAACATTGAAATAAAACCGCATGGTCCTGGGGGACGTAAATGTGTTGTAACAATTATGACCACTTTGTGCTCGACAAAATTTAACACAGTCTTTTTTGGAAAGTCCAATTTATTTATCGGGAGGGGGTGGGGGAAATAAAATCATAAATGGCTCACAGTGGTTTTGTTTTAAAAAATAATATTTTGGAATTGTAATGTAAGCTCTCTCTTTTGACGTCCAAGTGATAATGGTCCTACAAAAAGAGGATTTAATGAAAACAATAAGTTGGTCCACACTTTGCATCAACTTAATGTGATATGTTGTAGTTTGGTGCAAGGTACTGGATATAATAATATATGTATATAATACATTTGCATTCAACCATTTGCATTAATTGGCACGTAATCAAACGCATCCATATCAACAATCGCACGTAAAATCGGTAGTTACTCGGATGTATATTTTTGAAAATTTCTAATTTATTTAAACATAATGACATTAAACAATGTTCAATGAAAACAAATAATGCTCATTGCACTAAACAATAATTAGGGTTTACTACGACTGTAAATGACTGTTAAAGCCATGTAGGTAGCAGGTGGTTGGTCACGGTAATTACTGTATAAACGCTGTCACAGGCAATAACAGTCACTTAGAGGCTCAGGAAACCCTATTTACTGCATGTACAAGTGCAATCAACATTTTACATTTAAAACCGATATTTTAATGCATTAATAAATAAGCTTAGAAATATTTTAAAATATACATCCGAGTAACCGAGTACCAATTTTAGTATTCGATGATATTACACATGCGATTGTCGATATGGGTGTGTTTGATTACATGCCAATATATATATACATGTAAAGTATATAATCATTAATTTTTTTTTTTGTTCTATATAAAACTAGCCTTACCGTCTATCGTAATACTATATAAATCTCTAATCCCGGCTAAGCTGTGTAAATCCACATGGAGCAGGGGGGTGGTCAAGTTCAAGTTCAGATACTGTACCTAGCCTGACCCTATACATCCTGGGGGTCGTCAAACACGACAAAGAGTTACATTACAATTACGAAGCAGATTATTTTTTTAAACAAAAACACTGTGAACAACTTATGATTTTATTTCTTGTGTTTATCTGATAAATAAGTTGAATTTGAAAATTGTTATATTAAATTTCGTCGGGCACAACGTGCTCATCATTATTACAACAGAAATACATTTACGGATAAGCCTCCTATCAGTGCATCTGGGTTTATTTCTACAAGAGTTTACAATGTTTTATAGTCTTCAATTTATTTGTTCATGTTTATTTACACTTTTACATTTCGGGTACTCAATCAAATTATTGTTACAATAATATATATGTATGTATAAAATAATATAATGTGTCATCTGTTTAATTAGTTTTACCTATGTACAGGTGAGGTGTCTCCCCCATCAAATGTTGACTGTCGGGGAGGAACAGGTGGGGCGTCCTTCTGGAAAACGGCATTCTCATCCTCACTGAAAGAATGGAAATTGGAATAATTACTAATCTCTGTGTGCATATGAACACTATGGTAATATAAAGCATTTTCGTTCTCTGTGCATTTTCGTGGTTTGAGGGAAAAAATAAAGGTTTGTATTTCGTGGATCTCATTGACAAGTAATATCTTTTGTGGATAAAAATTTCTGTGTGACCTTAAAATCCACAAAAATTAAATTTCTAAGAATATCATGTTCATCATATATTTATTTTATTTTTTTTTATTTTTGGGCTATGTGGATCTAAATATTGAAGTGCATGGAATTGTTTATTATTTAGTTGTTTATCACATTATATGTTATATTAACATTAATAAGTTGTATAACTCTCTTCATAATTGAATTTTTAACACTAGATTTTAATGTTAAGAAAACATTAGCTGTTTGGATATGTTATTATTAAGTAAATACCTTTCTTATTATCAAAATTCATTCTGTATTTAATATTAACATTAAGTACATTTATCATACTAAATAACAAAATCATAAAATAGAAAAAATATCTACAAATAAAATTTATCAATTAATTTTCAGATTGCTAAGGTGTAAATGGATTTAGACTTCAGGAAAGCCACAAACAAAAAACAATAATCGAAGGACATTCTAATTTCACCGTGTTAAATCAATACATGTAACTCTATATAACTGAATATAGAAACACATTTAAAAATATTTTTTTTACATTTTTTTTATTGTTCAATTAGCTATTTTGAAATAAAATTTGAAAACTTTGAAATTTATCAATCTCCTTTTTCAATATACTGTTGTGACAAAAAGTAAAGTACAAAATGATTGTCAGATTGTAAACATTCTGTGCATTCAGGAAGCTTTTATGAAATAAGACCACAGTACTGAGAGATTTATAGTCTTTTTAATATCACTAACAGTTGAATAGAAAAGATATTTCTGAAAGCAGGAAGAAGTAATGAATTAAAATTGTATTTAATATTAAAGCCATATCTCATATTTCAAGTCTCAACTGATATTTTGACATTGGATAGTGGACACCTTGAATTTATTTGGATAGGCTCACCACTATTGAAATAATTTTTTTTTCTATTTCAATAACATTATAGAAATTAATATTTTCAAGATTGAATGATAATAAAACTATTTTTAAAATATCTACAGGCATGGTACAATTTACAAGAAAATTCAAAAGTAGATTCCTTAAAATGGATCTGCCATTATTACACACAAACCTTGATGGGGCCTTTCCAGTTTGACTTTTGTCTATTCTTGCATACTGAACTGAAGCTTCACTAGTTCTGTGCATGGGGGGACTTTTCCTCTCTGGTTCTGGGGAACTGCTTACAGATGGGCGTGGCTTGGGAACAGGTTTAGGGGTGTGATCCACTAATGTTTCATAAACTTTAGCTTCAAGACTTTCTTGTGAATTCTTATTTAGATGATCTGCAAAAAGAGCATAAAATATTTCATGAAGTTACACATTTCCAATCTATTTTGTTATAATAAGTATCAGAAAAGAAAACATGGTCACAAGTCTATTAATATTTTTTTCTTGATTCAATTGCAGTAATGCATGAAGCAAGACCAAATAGTATAGCATTATTGCAACCACTATTAAAATAATTATTTCAAAAGTGGTCGTATAGCATACATGTACTAGTCCTTACTGATTATCACACAGACTTGTCACGTAGGCATATTTTATGAAGCACGCTAGCCGTAAGCGCTAGTATATCGTTATACTTTTACTAACGTCACTGTAGCCTTATTGCGAAGTCATGTTAACGCTTGTTTCTCCGTGTATATTTCTACGCGTGAGTATACACGAAAATGAGTTTTCAAATCAATTTCACAGTTGGCATAGTAGAAAAACACAGCGAATGTAAATATTTTGAATTGATTATTATCCTATAAAAGACCTTGAAGCATTGGTTGACAATGATAGTATTTTTCATGCAGTCAGAGATGGGTTGTCATGAGGAATGATAAGTAATTTTAGTTTATCCTCCTCTCAACAGATGTTTGGTTTACATTCTCTGCCCCTTTCATCAGTGTTAATCCCCCAAAACATAAATCTTCAATAGATAGGCTTCTATAGTGATGGGAATCGGTAAGAATTTCGTAGTCGATAATTGGGCTACTGTAACTAACTAATTATCAATTATTATCGGACATTTACAAAGTCTATCAACTTAGTTTATTAAATGGTAAAAATGGGTGAATAACTACTTTCTGTGGTGGTCCAGCTGTAGTTAGAATAATCTGAGTCTCGGGACCATGCAGCCCTAGTCCGTATGACAATATCATACGATAGAACATTCTATCTAGTCAAGCTGGTTCTTTGTTCATTTTGTAGAATCCAAAGTACATCCATACCCGAGAATGTATGCTATTATTCGTCTATTCGTCTGCGCCATTACGATACACAAATAACTTAATAGATAAGTCGCGGCTGGAATATTCGGCTTAAAAACCATTACGCTAGTAAAAAAGAGAATAACCCAATTAATCAGAATAAAAATTTTGTAATCGAGCACTTGGATTGTGCCAGCAATCGATTGGGACATCACTATAGGCTTCTGTAAGATTTCAAAATTTTTACATGGTTTGTAAAACCTACAAAAATGGTTTACCTGTAATTAAGGATAGAATTTCCAAAGAAGCTTGATTATTTTGTTCTTGAAGAATTTCCAACACTGTCTTCCCATCCTTATCTCTCTCAGTACAGTCTATACCTACAAAAAGATGAAGGATAATCAAAAGTGCTGCACAAAAATTCTGTTTCTATAAAATCAACACCACACTCTGGGATTGCTTTTGGTTTTGAATAATCACTTTCAGTTTTAAATGCATTCTTTTCAAATTTTCTATGCAGTCTCAGCAACATACCTCTATCCAGCAGTATTCTGACTATGTCCGGCTTACAATACAGGGCGGCTAGGTGTAAGGCAGTGCCATCCTCCGTCTACAACAGAGGAAAAATATTCAACATGCAATTATGTTATTTTTTTAAAATACAGTTCTAGACGGCCATTTTAAACAGCATAGTTGCATTTATTCAATATATGTGGCAAATATCTGAAAAATTCAAAACTTCTTTCACACTTATATTTAAATGGAAAACAATGCAAATCGCTCACACATCAGTAAATTTGTATCCTTTTTTTATTATACTGTATAAAGGGTTATTTTCGCTCTTGTTGTTTTTGACCTTTTTCACTTGCAAACAGTTTTGCCGTTTTAAAATCGCCCAATCATCTCTTTAAGAAATTAAGCTGTGTTCTTTGAATTTGCCCCATTTTAAAATCGCCCATTCATAAAGAGGGTGAAAGGGGCAAAAATTAAATGTGGGCGAAAATTTCCCTGTATACAGTAACAATTTATACTGACAAATTTTTATACTATCAGGCCTTTGTTGTTAAAGTTACAAGAGAATTTCTGGCTAGCTTCCTAAGAGAATGTTTAAGCAAGAAATTTTCTCTTCTATTAATTTACTAGCTTGGACTCTACTTCTGACAGCAAAAAACTTATATATCCTTTTTGTCATGCCTTTTTACCTTTGTATTTATATTAAAGCCTTTGTCCAACAAGATCTCCACTATCTGCCTGTGTCCACATGCCACAGCCAGATGGAGTGGAGAGTGGATGAAGGTGGGACTGTGGACCAGGTCTGGACACTTGTCTATCAGGAGCTGCACCACCTCCACTCGACCGTAACGAGCAGCGAGGTCAAGAGGTGACTCATCCTTCAGGTTACGGATGGTCGGATCTGAGTGATGTTCCAGAAGGATGCTGACTGTAGGAGTGAAGCCATATTGTGCTGCACTGTGGAGTGGGGTTTCTCCATCACAGTTCTGAAATTATAAATTATTTATTTTCAAACTTTAATATGGTGCACATCATGTAAACCAGCCTGGGTTTATTAGGTCTTTCCACCTTTCTGTGGAAAGACCTATTGATATTCTTCTGTTTATTAGGTCTTTCCACCTTTCTGTGGAAAGACCTCTTGAAATGCTTATGTTTTTTATTATTCTATTTCTCACCTTATGTTTTGACACCGTAAGACTTATCGAAAAACTTTATAGTTCATGATGCTGGATATTTAAAGTTATTCCGAAAAATCACCCCCCATGTTTTAACTTAGACCCCTTATGCAGTTATTGCCCCTTTCACCGTAAAGCTTGTTATCGCTACTCCTCCGAAACCGTAAATTGTAGAGATGCAGAACCTTCACTAACGTCTTCAACTAATTTAGGAGACATTTCAATCTATTCATTGCAAAAGTTTTCTTTGACCCCTTCAATGAGTAACTGCCCCTGAAAGTTTATAAATTTTATAAAAAAATAAAAATTTTCAAAACGAGAAGTCGTAGAGACATGAAACCAACTGCATAAGTTTTATTGACCTTTGACCTTCAAATTCATTTCAAGGTCAAAGGTCAAGGTCATTCCAAATATGAGGAATAAATTTCTTTTAATAGCTCTTACATCCTTAAACATATACAATCTATCTTCTGTCTGTGATATGCACTCTTAATACTCTTTCAAAGATTTTATTCTTGTACCCTAAGATTGACCCTTTTAAAAGTTATTGCCCCTTGTGCGAAAAACCTTGTTATCGCTACTCCTCGGAAACCATAGACCGTAGAGACATCAAATCTTCACTAATGTCTTAAGGGTCTTCAGGCCTAACTTCACTGTATAAGTGCGAAAGGATCTGATGACCCCTTATGAGTTATTGCCCTTTAACGTCTTTGTACTTACCATTAAACCTTATAACTTGAAAAGTATAAGTCGTAGAGGCATGGAATTAATTGCATTGTGACCCTTGACCTTTGACCTTGAAGATTTTTTCAAGGACAAAGGTCAAGGTCATTTCATTTTTTTTTTATTTTAATTTTTTAAAATTTATCCTTTTAAGACAATTTTGTTTTCTTATTCATGGAATTTAATTCTAAGTAGTCAGATATAAAACAAAAATTCAAAGAAGGTGGAAAGACCTCTTATTGTTCTTTGAACAATAAGTCTCCTAGTTATTATTCTTTTTTTTTATTATTTTTCCGCCGCATGTTTTTTTGTTTGAAGATATATCGAAAAGATTTATAGTTCATAGGAATGTACTCCGTAAAAGATGTTTGCAGTTGATCCTGCGTAAATGAACCTTGACCGCTTTCGAAGTTATTGCCCCTTTTGCAAGAAATGCTTGTTATCGCTACTCCTCCGAAACCATAAACCGCAGAGGTATGAAACCTTCACCAATGTCTTCGACTAATTAAGGGGACTCTTCAATCTATTCATTGCGAAAGAATTCGGTGACCCCTTCAATGAGTTATTGCCCCTGAAACTTTTTGAATTTTACAAATAATTAAAAAATTTCAAAACAAGAAGTCGTAGAGACATGGGACCAACTGCATAAGATTCATTGACCTTTGACCTTAAAATTCATGTAAAGGTCAAAGGTCAAGGTCATTCCAAAAATGAGAAAATTAGCTCTTTTTATATCTCTTTTGTCTTTTGACATATACTTAATGTCTATGATCATTAATATGTACTCTTAAAACTGTTTCAAAGATTTCATTCTTGTCCCCTAAGATTAAACCTTTTAAAAGTTATTGCCCCTTGTGCGAAAAACCTTGTTATCGCTACTCCTCCGAAACTGTACACCCTAGGGACACCAAACCTTCACTAATGTCTTAAGGGTCTTTAGACCTAACTTCATAATATAAGTGCAAAAGATTCTGATGACCCCTTATATGAGTTATTGCCCTTTAACTTCTTTATACTTACTATTAAACCTTGTATCTTGAAAACTGTAAATGGTAGAAGCATGGGGTTAATTGCATTGTGACCCTTGTCCTTTGACCTTGAATATTTTGTCAAGGTCAAAGGTCAAGGTCATTAAACAAATAAGAAATTAAGCTCTTTTTATATATCTTTTGTCTTTTAACATATGCAATCAGTCTTTGCATCATTAATATGTACTCTGAAATCTATTTTAAAGATTTCATTCTTGTTTCCCAAGATTGACCCTTTCAAAAGTTATTGCCCCTTATGTGAAAAACATTGTTATCGCTACTGCTTCAAAACCGTAGACTGTAGAGGCATGAAACCTTCACTAATGTCTTAAGGGTCTTTTAGCACACCTTCATTGTATAAGTACTAAAGGATCGAATGACCCCTTATATGAGTTATTGCCCTTTAACTTCATTGCACTTAATATTTGAACTTATAACTATAAAACTAAAAGTCGTAGAGGCATGGGGTCAATTGCATTGTGACCCTTGACCTTTGACCTTGAAGATCTGATCAAGGTCAAAGGTCAAGGTCATTCCAAAAAAAAAAAATTAAATTTTCATTTTCTTTTTTTAAGCCATTTCCCTTAAAATTAAATTAGAGAGTGAAATATAAAATTATAAAAAAATTTAAAAAGGTGGAAAGACCTCTTATTGTTCTGTGAACAATAAGTCTCCTAGTTTTTGTACATGTTTCTTGACAATTTATTTTGACATTTATAATACAGAGCTCCAGATAAGGTGCGTATTAGCAGAATTATGCATTGAATTTTACAAAATACGTATTGAAAATTAAAATAGAGCATACAATTACGCATTAGCAATCGTAGATAAGCATTACACCACGAAAGTACTGCATACAACAGGTTGAAGAATACAAGTACGACTTACTTAATGATAAGAATTAAGGTTAACTCAGTGTTTGATTTTTCTCCAAACAAAGTACAGATTTAAAAGCCTTTTAGTGACCAGGAATATTCTAGTAAAGCCGACGACGATCTCTATTTCAGGAGGAAGAATCAAGAGATTTACATTTAAATCAATTTGAAATTCTATAAACAGAAAGACTATGCACTAGGCATAACTTTTTATTATGGGTTCATTGCCAATTTTACACTTCTCTCAACTTGCCACATTAACGAAGAGTCTTTTCTCTAAGTTTAATTACTCTTGATACGATATCATCTTAAATGGAGGAAGTTTTCTGTGTTTCTGACTCTATGGTACCTTGACCTACTGTATAATCTTCCTTGTCAAAAAAGAATGCTTCCCAATTTTAGCAAAAAGTCTTGTTGGTATTTTCAAAATTTATTTAAATAATTGCAGGAACTGACCTTTGTAGTTTTTTCCCTCTTCAAAATCACTTATATTTCGATTACAAGCTCAAAATCAAAATAAAGGTCAAAACATTTATACATGTAAACAAAATACTCCTCAATCATTTTGCTGAAAATCAAAATCTGCATTGATTTGAAAATCAATACACTTTGGGGTAAAAAATTATCTGGAGCTCTGTAATAGCTGACAAAGACTTGAAAATTACCACAGGCACCTGACAAATGGATTTTTTTTTGGGGGGGGGGGGGGGTTACACCCTCTCTGCATCAGGTGCCTGGAGTAGGAAGCATGTCTTCAAGAACTGGAGTTGGATTGTCAGACAAAAGAATATGTAATATGTTAGCATTATTTCCTTTTAACTGACTCTATATGCTTATGAAGTTATGAACATAAATCTTCAAAGTCTAACCAATTATAACTTACAGTAAGAGTGAACTTAATTAAACTTGAATTTTGTGTTTTGTTTACCTGTAGGTTGACTTGGACTTGTGAGTGAGGATTTGTTAGCAGTATTTTACAGATTTCCACATTGCCTTTCCACGCTGCTAAGTGGAGGGGGTTACATCCACGGTTGTCTACAACATTTACTGAGGCATTCTCTCTTAGCAGTATCTCAACAGCACCTCTGTGGAAAAATTAAAAGTATATCCTCATGGAATAGAGTAGCATTTTTTAACTTAATAAATTAAATATATGTTTTCCCTTTTATCATGTTGTTTAATTACATACAATGCAGTTCTGTGGAATGATTTTAACAAACTTTTTTCTGGATCAAATAGCAATATCAATAATAAAAGTTTGGTTTCCAATACAGTGCTCTCTCTCTCTCTCTCTCTCATAAAAAATACAATTAAGACTATAATCATGTTTCAGAGAGAAATCAGTTTTTTCTCTGTCTGACATACATGTATACTTTCCACTCTGCTTAAATCTCTAATTTACTTCAGACACAATCCCTGATTGAAGTCAGAATTTGCTGAACAAGTAGAAAGAGAAGGTACATAGCATCTTGGCCAAACCAAATTGATTTTCTTTAACAAACAGCATCCCTAATTGCTTTCCACAAAAAATCCAATAAGGAAAGACTTAAGGACTCTTATCAGAGGATGGTCAATTTACACTGTGAATGAAAGTGAACGCTTATCCTCCATACAGAATCTTACAAAACAAACCCAAAAAAGAAAATGTCATCAAAACTTGCGTGGGTAAAAAACATACACTAAAAACTCTGTGCCTAGAAGATATTTATTTCATGCTTATCTTTAAAGTGCACAAATATGGTATCAATAGACTGTTGTACCAGCTTACGACTTCCTTAACCGATCGTAAATGTCAGACTTAATGTCATCAAATTCATCCTGAAGCTTTAATATTTCATCAGTCTGCGAGACGTTAGGTCTTTTCACACCATGCAAACCAAAAACTGGCCTAATATTAGAAACAAAACAAATTTATAGAAGCTCCTATCTTAGTTGTAAATAACAGAACTTCAAGCTAAACTGTCATTTTTTTGTAAATAATTCCCTATAAGTGCATTAAATTGCACAGCATGCACAGGAAGTTTTAGGACTTTCCCTATAGGCAGGTGTGCGGAATTGAATTGTTAAGGCAGTAATATTTTGCACTACAAATATAATAAATGGCTTTACGCTGGCCAAATTTTTGGTTATGTACCGGTGTCATATAATATATTGAACCCCGCGATATTTTGAACCCGGGTTCAAAATATCGCTGCGAAATATTGAACCCCCTATAAAATATTGAACCCGGGGTTCAAAATATTATGGCCATAAAATATTGAGTCCCCCTGCCCTTTTAATTTCAGAGGTTAGGGGGTTCAAAATATTATGGCCATAAAATATCGAGTTCCCAACCCATTTAAATTTACAGGGAGGGGGGTTCAAAATATTATGGCCATAAAATATTGACCCTCCCTCCCCTCCCCTCCCCTCCTATAAATTTAAGAGGGAGGGGGTTCAAAATATTATGGCCATAAAATATCGAGTCCCCTACTCATTTAAATTTACAGGGAGGGGGGTTCAAAATATTATGACCATAATATTTTGAACCACCTCCCTCTTAAATTAAAAAGACAGGGGACTCAATATTTTATGGACATAATATTTTGAACCCCCCTCCCTGTAAATTTAAATTGGTAGGGGACTCAGTATTTTATGGCCATAATATTTTGAACCCCCTCCCTGTAAAATTAAATGGGCAGGGGGACTCAATATTTTATGGCCATAATATTTTGAACCCCCTCCCTTATAAATTAAAAGGGCGGGGGACTCAATATTTTATGGCCATAATATTTTGAACCCCCTCCCTTATAAATTAAAAGGGCGGGTGACTCGATATTTTATGGCCATAATATTTTGAACCCCCCTCCCTGTAAAATTAAATGGGCAGGGGGACTCAATATTTTACGGCCATAATATTTTGTACCCCCTATCTCTCAAATGAAAAAGGTAGGGGTTCAATATTTTATAAGGGGGTTCAATATATCGCAGCGAACAAGAGGCCCATGGGCCACATCGCTCACCTGAGAAGCTTTGACCAATCTGTTCTTTACCAGATTTCACCCTTGTTATACATAATGCATCCCCACCCTACCCCACTGATCATAATTTAGACATTTTGAAATCTACACACCCACATGATCCTTCCATGGGCACATATGTTTCAGCTTTTTGGCCCAGTGGTTCCCGAGAAGAAGATTTTCAAAGATTTTTCCTATATATTTCTATGTAAAACTTTGATTCCCTATAATGGCCCCGCCCTTCCCCCGGGGGTCATGATTCCTACAATTTAGAATTTACACTACCCCAGAATGCTTCCACATAAGCTTCACTTTTTCTGGCCCAGTGATTCTTAAGAGGAAAAATTTCAAAGATTTTTCCTATATATTTCTATATAAAACTTTGATTCCCCATTGTGGCACCACCCATCCCCCGTGGGTCATTAATTGAACAATTTAGAATCTACATTATACCAGGATGCTTCCACATAAGTTTCAGCTTTTCTGGCCCAGTGGTTCTCGAGAAGATTTTCAAAGATTTTTCCTATATATTTCTATGTAAAAATTTGATACCCCATTGTGGCCCCGCCCTTTCCCTGGGGGTCATGATTTGAACAATTTAGAATCTACATTATACCAGGATGCTTCCACATAAGTTTCAGCTTTTCTGGCCCAGTGATTCTTAAGAGGAAAAATTTCAAAGATTTTTCCTATATATTTCTATATAAAACTTTGATTCCCCATTGTGGCACCACCCATCCCCCGTGGGTCATTAATTGAACAATTTAGAATCTACATTATACCAGGATGCTTCCACATAAGTTTCAGCTTTTCTGGCCCAATGGTTCTTGAGAAGAAGATTTTCAAAGATTTTTCCTATATATTTCTTTATAAAACTTTGATTCCCCATTGTGGCTCCACCCATCCCCCGGGGGTCATGATTTGAACAATTTAGAATCTACATTATACCAGGATGCTTCCACATAAGTTTCAGCTTTTCTGGCCCAGTGGTTCTTGAGAAGAAGATTTTCAAAGATTTTTCCTATATATTTCTATGTAAAACTGTGATTCCCCATTGTGGCCCCGCCCTTCCCCCGGGGGTCATGATTTGAACAATTTAGAATCTACATTATACCAGGATGCTTCCACATAAGTTTCAGCTTTTCTGGCCCAGTGGTTCTTGAGAAGAAGATTTTCAAAGATTTTTCCTATATATTTCTATGTAAAACTTTGATTCCCCATTGTGGCCCCGCCCTTCCCCCGGGGTTCATGATTTGAACAATTTAGCATCTACACTACCCCAGGATGCTTCCACATAAGTTTCAGCTTTACTGGCCCAGTGGTTCTTGAGAAGAAGATTTTTTAATGACCCCACCCTATTTTTGTCTTTTCTTGATTATCTCCCCTTGCGAGGGGATATGTCCCTTCATTTTAACAATTTAAATTCCCCTTTACCCAAGGATGCTTTGTACCAAGTTTGGTCAAAATTGGCCCAGTGGTTCTTGAGAAGAAGTCGAAAATGTGAAAAGTTTACAGACGGACAGACAGACAGACGGACAGACGGACGGACGGACGGACGACGGACAAAATGTGATCAGAAAAGCTCACTTGAGCCTTCGGCTCAGGTGAGCTAAAAAGTGAACCCGGGTTCAAAATATTACGCGATATTTTGAACCCGGGTTCAATATATCGCGGTATCAAAATATCATGCTACACCGGTATACATTATAGGAATATATTAACTTTCAGATCCATTGCTCTTCATGTGCGAATTCAAACTGACTTGTCTGGCTGAAAAATGTACTAGTGGCCCAAGATTTAGAAAAATAAAATTATTTCAATTCATTCATACTAATAGCATGCGAGCACACTAATATCAGGAACTGATGCTTATAGAGCAAATTAATTTTCATTATGTGATTGACTTGATGTGCCTGTGATGCTACAAGAAAAACCAACTTGTCAATTTTAACTCATACATGTATTGCCATTAAGCAGTATGCCCTGTTTCATTTAAAATAAAATATTTATTTTTCAAATTGCTCTGAAAATCTTTAATAGAGATGACTGTGAAGTCACACTTATTAAAGGAAACTAGCAGCTAGACCGAGTTCCTTTGCCAAACACTCAGCACTTAAAGTGAAAATAGAGGGTCCTTTGGATGGGATCGGAAAAACCGAGGCCCTGTGTCACAGTAGGTGTTGGCAAAATTAAAAACCCTCACTTAATGGCCCAGGTGCATCATGAATGCCAAGTATAATTTGAAGCCCCTCACTGGTTTAAGGTGTCATCTAAATATGAGTGAAAAATTCTGGGATGGGACATAAAACAACATACCATCAATCAACCCAACGTCCAGGAGATCAGTCGGTCTTTACCAGTAATTTATTAACATTGTGAATCAGTTGTAAAGTTTCTGTGCTCCAATACGAGGTTTTTTTTGTATATATCAAAATTTAAATGCATATTTAGAAAACAGTATTGAATTTTTAATAAATTGATTTTTTTTATTATTTTGGCAATTGCGGGGAAATGGTAAATTTTTATTTCTATGATGTGAACATTAAGTGTATGCTGCATAACAGTTCAGTAAGTTGCAAAGAGTTAAAGATACACGTTTTCACTTATATAATTACGTTTAGATACCATTCACTCTATATTTGCTAAAAAAGAAATAACAGCTAGCTCTGAAAAACTAGTCTACAAACAAAAATTCTACCATTCAATTTCCATGTCCATTATCATGTTGCTATATTTTTTTTCCTTTTAAGGTAATTTACTACAGAATGATTCCGAATTAGGAGAAGTGCTTTTTTAATTATATTTCCTAGAGCAGCACATACTGTCTTATCATAGATCTGCATTCACCCTACACTTATTCATAAATTCTTCCCTATTATATTAATCAATACACATAACATTTATTTTTAATTCAATCGGCTCTACCTTTTCATTGGAAAATCTAGCTGCAGAATGTGTCAAGAGCACTTGTAAGTCCATAGAATGTATGTAACAGACCTTGTTTGAATTATGGAATAATTTGGGGGGCAGGGGGCCAATTCAATTTTTCTTTGTTTGTGGGGATTTAAATTTGTGGATAAAGAATTGATGAGTAGTCAATTATTTGACATACTGTAGATCACTAAATTTTCGCGACACCTTATTTTCGCAAGGTAGTCAACTAGTCATTGACTCTTGATAAGCGAGACAAAATGTTCACGAATTCTGGTTATTGCTCTATATAATCTTAAGGAATACTATTATACGCGAGAATTTAATTTTCGCGAGCACACTGTCTCACGTAATTACGCGAAAATAAAGTTCTCGCGAATAAAAAGTGTTTTACAGTAATACTTTTCATGTTCATAATGTTGGACATGAATTAGTGGACCTTTTCATATATCAAAAAAAAAACAAAAAGTAAGCCCCCATGAAAATTGTGATTTCAGAGTAAAAACATAATTTTAAAAGATGTTAATGGAACGGACAATTAAGATGCACCAATAAAAATCAAATTTATCTGTAACAACTTTCTTAACCTGTTAACTAAAACATCATCATACTACCTTTTTGTGTTAATATGGGAAAACTTTATGTAACATCCTTCCACTTTCAGTGAAAGAATTTTTTTTCCAAAATAAAGTTGATAAAGATCAGTTAAGAGTGTTTTAATCCTGTAATATTGTAAGCAAAATATCTTGATTGAGACATACCAAGAAAAACAGGAATTTACAGGGTGTATTATTTAGTTTTTAGACCTTTTTCTTTTTTAAAGATTTATCAATTACAAACTGGACAAGCAGATAAACTCAGCAAATAATGTCAAATTTTGAACAGTATTACCCATTAAATCTTAAAGATCTTCCTTACTTTTGCACAGAAATGTTTTCCTTAATTATGTTGTTGTTTTCTTTACAAGAAAAATGTACATAGAACATGAATGCCCTGTCAAAAGCACATGTGTAGCAATAGTAACAAGATGTGTTTGTGAAACACTGATGCCCTTAAAGGCTTTAAGTTATAGTAGCTATTTGTGGGGGGTTGAAGTTTCTCCAATGCAAGTCGAACTCCAAAGGTCAAATGGTTAAAATTGTTGGCATCCAAAGGAAGGTATTATCAAAGAATACACCTGTGAAATGTAAAACCCCTAATGCTAACTGTTCAAAAGATATGGCCAAAGTTAAAGTTTTTTAAAAGCAAGTCTAAGTATAAGGTCATGGTCAAAAGGTCAAAAATATTTTTACCCATTGAAAGGTCTTGTCACAATGAATATAAATGTGAAGTATGAAATCCCTAGCTCCAACTGTACAAAAGTTATGGCCAAGGTTAAAGTGTGGTATTTTTTTGTAAAAGTGGGTCAAACTCCAAAATCAATATGTCAAATTTGGTACAGGTGTACTACCCAAAGAAAGTTCTTGTCACAAGTAATATACCTGTGAAATATAAATGCCATTACTCCAACCACTCAAGAGTTACGGGCAAGGTTAAAGTTTTTGCAGACAAACAGACACATGGACAGGGCAAAACTACATCATTATATCACCGAATCTTTGATTAAGGGGGCATAAAAATGGAAATGTAACCTTACATGTATGTACTGGTTAGGGCTGTGTTTTGAGCCAAAATTTTTGATACGATACAACATTTTTTAAAGCGATATGCGATATATTGGATTCTAAGACAAGTCCATAAGAAAGGGCTTCTAGATCATTTTAATGCATAAATTTCATAACAATTAAGTGTTTTATTAACCGTTTTAAAGTTTTTGTCTCATTGTCTTTACAAATAACACTTCAAACTAAAATTTTGATGACAGTAAAAGCAACATGTTCAAATAATTTTCTCTTTGTACTTTGTAATAATTATAAAAACTGTGCTATTTTCTTACAAATTATATCATTATTGAACAGTTTTAACTCAAAAAAGTAAAATATAATCTTTGGTGATTGAATATCCCATCTTTTTAACAGAATTAGAAGAAAAACTGTCTGTCCAATACGTATTGGAAGTTATTTTTCGATACGATATTTTTCTTGAATATCGATACGTATCGATATATTGATACAGCCCTAGTACTGGTAGCTGTTATTTTTATGCACCCATAACTGAAGATTCAGGGGTGTACAGTTTTCTTCCTATCCGTCTGTCTAGCTGTCTGTCTGCCTGCAAAAACTTTAACCTTGTCCATAATTTTGGAGTGGTAAGGAAAAACTTTCAATCGTTTACCAACTAAATAAAGATTCACAGATTTAAGTAATCATGGATTAAGCAAATTTATGTGTATAATGGTATAAAATTGTTATTGGTGAAGAGATATCAGGGATTTATCAAGGCTGTTTTTACTACCGGTAAACGGTACTTTCCCCTCTTGAAAAAGGTGCAAAAATTCCCCTTTTTCAGATAGAAAATTCTCTGATTAAATGGAATATTTAAAACATCGTTCTGAAATTTTCCGTTTTTGTCCGATTGAAGTTTTACAGCAAATTTACCATCCTAGTCATTCAAACGCTTTTAAAAGAAAGAATATATTATTCAAGCTTTTATTTGATATTGATCGGTAAACATGTGCCAAGTCCATGGAGATGATGTCGAAAGATACGCGTGGGATTGCAGAGTTAAGAAAAGTGTAGATGAGTAAGATGGAGCTTATATCACTATGAATCTGAAGAATGGAGTAACAACAAAAACAATGTTAGTAGTGAAACATGAAAAACAGAATTGTTTTGTGATAGATATTGAGAGAAAAAATTAAATAAAGTCCTGACCTGGTTTAATTTTTTTTTGTGTGTGTGCTGTTTAGTATTTTGCCTAAAAAGTGAAGTTTTTGTGGTCTTTGTTAAGGTCTACAAATGACCCTCAGAAGCTCTAAGAATAAAGGATTTTGCTCCATTTATTTAAAAATTTTCCGGGGGGCATCATGGATACTCGCGCCTCTGGCACTCAGATCGAGTCTGTGGCTCTCATTTTTCCCCTTTACATATTAAACGGTAGTAAAACAAAATAGCTAGATAAATCCATGGATATACATGTATCAAAGTACAATAGTGAAGCTGGTTCAAACTGAATGCAACTCTGGAATTTTTATTCAACAACACAAAGAGATAATCATATCTTTCTCAGTTCAGAAAATACGACTTGCATGGTACATGTACACCCCATATCATTATAGGGTTATCAAAAAACATCAATTACAGGAACAGAATTGTACATGGGAATTAAAGAATCAGTGCTTTTTATTCTTATTCAGTATACTAGTTCATCAGTTTCACTACAGAGCTAGTGGTAAATGCATCTGCCTACTTACACATGATCGTTGAGTGCAGCAAGATGAAGAGGTGTGTCTTTCTCTCTGTCCACACAGTTTATGTTAACTTTTAAGAAACTACTGCAAAGAGAAAACCCAAAGTATTAATGCTTTGATATATATATGTACATAATTGGTACCTGGTATCAATGTGCTCAAATTATTTTAAAAAAAAACAATAAGAGAAAGTGAATATAGAGCCTTTGAAAGAAATCGTGTCATTTTTATAATTTATGTACAAAGTACATCTGAAACATGAACTGGACCAATATTGACTGCATAACTGACAAAAGTTACAGGCTTTTCACCCATGCATCTCTGAATTATGTCATAAAAAGTAACTAATGTTCTCATTGAATGAAATATTCAAATAACTGATATTATGATTTTAGCATTTAGTTTTTCTTGAACTACAGGGTTCCTCCACTATATATATGGAGTAATAAATCAAGAAACGACAGATTTTTGTGTGCAATAAATATACACTTTTAACAATAGGTGCCAGGCTTTGTACCTCAATCTCTAGTTGACCATCCCAGTTTCTTTGTTTCGTTTAATTTCAGAGACAGGCCAGCAGGTAGGAACCTTTATTTACCTATACCACTGCTCTACTTTAAGAAAAATGTGCAGGGGGTTGGAAGGGAGGGGCAGAGCATCTGAATTAAAATCAGAGTTCTTGAAATCTTTCGGTCCTGTTGGCAAGACCGATAAAAACAACCAAGGACCGATAACTTTACGTTCTGTCTCAGTCCAAATGACCGGTAAATATTGAGAGCAACTTGCAAAAATCCGACTAAATTTCGTACAAATTCCCTATAACCGACCGATCATAATCTGTTAAATGCTTTTCAGTACTAGTATATCGTAATGGCTTCTTCGATGAATGCAAGTACCAAACTATGATTGATTAACTGTTAAAACAAGTTTGTCGATGGCACTACCCAGGTAGGGTAAGCCAGGTGAGAAAATCGAACTACATTAAAAACTTATGAAGTAAATCGACCCCCATGAGAATTCAACAAAAATTGTTATACGATGATCAAATCGGCTAGCTGCAGAACTGTAGCTCTCCGAAAAAATATATATTGATAGACCGGAGAGCTACAGTCCACCCATTGAAAAAACTGTATATTTATTGCGCACAAAAAAGTGCACTCGGTTCTGGATTAAATCTTCCAAATTCTTACCTCAATTGCAAAAAAGCTAGATTTGAATAAAGTTCTTACTTCTTTATCAATTACTTTCGTAGTATACATCTGTACGAAGCGCGTTGGACAGAATTATCTTGCAAACCAAAATGGCAGTATAAATAGGCAAAATTTTCGATGATCTCAATTTCAAGGCCAGGAGGGCTATTAAAAACAATTATAAGGAATGTTTTGTTGTGGAAACAGTGAAAAATTATGTTAGGAACACATGGTTAGTAATATTTTGAGATGACAGTTTTTAAGAACACTGAGAAATAAATCAAGAAACAGTGCACTTTTTTGTGCGCAATAAATATACAGTTTTTTCAATGGGTGGCACTGTAGCTCTCTGGTCTATCAATATATAATTTTTCGGAGAGCTACAGTTCTGCAGCTACAAATCGGCATGAAGTTTGCAGTGTGTATATGATGCAGTGTGCAAAATATATTGATAATAAAATTCAATTACAGTTTTCATCTTTTTATTGAATTTTTTTTTTGGACTGATGGAAAGCTGTCTGGACTGACAAACTTTCTTTGGCAGTCAGTCCAAATGACTGACAGAAGAGAAAAGATTTCAAGAACTCTGTAAAATATAATATAATAGCAAAGCAATACATTGCACAGGATTCCGCCATCCCACCCCAACTCCTTTGCCAATGATGTGGGCCTGTCATTTCTCAATATAAATGACAAGTTACAAAGTAACAGGTAGTTTATCAAGTTTATGCTGTAGAATATATCAAATTAAAGGGCTTGAAACTCTCCAATTTTTCGAGTATAAATTTGATGGGTGGACTTAGAATTAAAAAAAGTTATACTAGGCTTAAAATAAGGCTAAATCCTACTGCATTTAAAAAGCATCTAATGATTCATACAAGAGCTACCGCATCGACAAAATCGGCACTTTGTTTTAATGCATGTTTCAGAAAGCGTCAAGACATAATGTTACATAGATGACACCCTTGTAGTGTAAGATATTACGCAATGTGTTCCTGTTATGTACAACTAACCAACCTTAGATTGGTCAGAAGGCTACTCCCACTTGTTGATTTTTTCAGGAGTTTCTCGATGACCTCGCATTTTCCATGTCTGGCTGCTTCGAGTAGCTCTTGGTCTTTGTCTATGCCTACCAGTTGACGGATAGCAGCCATACCATGAGTTCTAATTCTAACGAGTTACTTCCTCATCTCATTTGCACCATCTTAATAAATTTCTGTTTACAAGAACTGTTATGAGTGGTCAATTCCAGTAAGAAACAGCTAATCAAAATCGCAGTTATAACTGAGTGGAAATAACGTAACAAAAACATATCATGTATCTTGATTGGATACAGAATACACACTCCTCCAAATCTATCCAATGACAATCTGGTTAACTAGATATTCCTGGTTCACAGCAGGATGCTGTATAACTAGTATTCATATTTCCCGAATCCGACTGTTGCGGTTTGTACAGAAGTACAAAATCGCATCATTTTTCTCATCACATAGGTGCTTTGAGGATAAAAATTCTCAATTTATGCAAATATATCAATACGTTTATGAATAATTTACCATAATAGATATGTTATCTTATTTTAACGATAGATCTTATAAATTAATTTATTTTTTTCATCCTTTGGGTAGTAGTTTAGTATTTTATGAGTAACACTGTCGGAAATATATGTATGGATAAGTTTCTTTCCATGAAGCAAATTTTGATTTTATCATGGAGAGTTTTTTTATCCAGGTATTAAAAAAATATGAATGCAAAAACGCTCTCAAAGAGAGCGATTTAAGCACTATTTTTACTGCCTTCCCTCATTTGCATCATGACGTAAACAATCCATCTAATTATAGCACACGTAAACACAGACGAGGCAAGGACAAGAAAGCAGACAAAAACATCGAGGCGGAGAAGAGAGAAAAGGAATAATCATGACAAATCTTAGTCCAAAAACTGTGGTAAGGTGAATTTTCTGTTTGATGTATTATCATCCCTTTGACAAGAGCAACTGAAAAGAGACATTGTTTTGTTCTAAAGACAGCAAATAATATGAATGTATTTTTATTATTTATGCGCCATATTTTTCTTTGCTAAACAATGAGCAGACGTTTCACTGAATTGAAGTATGAAGGGATGTTTGGTTAAAAATCAACTTTCATATGCTAGGGACTGTGATAGGTTCCTGAAAATAACAATCATTTAAAAAATATGCCACCTGTTAGAATGATTATCATAAATCGTTACAACGTGACCAAAATAAGCTATTTATAGCTATTATAGTGACTGAAAGCACTATCACTTAATTATTATTTTTTTACCATATATGATTTCAATGTTAAGAAAACAACTACTTAATTTGCCATTTTACAAATTCATTGTAAATTTCAAGACATATTTTTTTCTTTAAAAAAAAAAATTATTGGCAATTTTTGGCAAGATGCCCTTTCTTTGTCTAATGGCCATGTGACCCTTGATGTCAACTTGTCAACATGTTCATTCATTTACTTATTTAAATTAACATATTAAGGGCATGTTAATTGCTATACATTTATACCTCTGTAATACATGTATATATTAATTCATTGACATTTTTCTTGTTGTTTTGAAAATACATTACTTTTACCTGTAGTTTTACTTGAAAATTAAACTTTTTTTTCTTTTAAAATCTTAAACAAACTGAAAATTATGCAAAAATATAAAGATCCCATATCTAGAAAAATACTTTGAGAAAAAAAATGGCAAATTAAGAAATTAATAATTATTGATATGATTAATAATGAATTTAAGCACAAATACTTGAAAAGTTCATAGTGCTTTTTGAAATATACAAGACATAAAATAATTTATTGTAAGGGCTTAACACTTTTGCACAAGTACTTTTGTCTATTAATACCATTAGAAAGCTTGATCATTAGGACTTCCTTAATTGTGTATTAATTTATATGCAATATAAGGCCTGTAGCTAAAGTAGCCTTGGGTATATAATCACTGCATTTACATATATACCTATTGATTCAAGGTGTGTCCAGATACAAATTTTCTCTGTTAAAATTTTTCTGCAACATCGGCTCATTATCGCTGTGTCTACAAGACTCTCTTGATTATCTTTAAATCAGTCATTTAATCAGTCATTGAACAGAAAATTAAGTATGACTAGTGTTTACGTAAACTGTTGCAATATTGTACACATATTTATTATGTTCAGAAGGGTAAATATTTTAAAGGATAATGCACCTATCTCAGGTAGTTTAAATAAGATATACCAGTATTTGAATTTCATTCAAATCATTGAACCCGACAGTTATATACATTGTATATCGGTATAGAAAAACACCTATTTTCTGCTGCCAAAAATGTTGTGGTTGGACTTTGTACCATTTGAAGAGGCTTTTAATGATTCATAAAAATCACACTATATACTAGCGCTGTACTACTATAAAGGTTAACAAAGTATTACAAAATGTCACATGAACATTTAAGTGGTCAGTGAAAGAACAGCACAGGGCCGTGACAGGGAAAAGTACTTGAAGAGACTGAAGAGTGACTTTAATCAGACAATTACTTATGAATATGGAAATGCACATCCTTGCCTTCAGTAAAATTGTCCAGGGCTATAAGGTCACCAATAAATCCCCTTTAGTCTTGGTGAGAGGATTTTAATATGTTTATACATGTAATTACGTCATTCTATGCCGCATGCTTTTTTAAATTGGCGAATTCAATAATTTACGTCACGGAGTCACTAATCAGCTTTTTCATACCTAAATATACTCAATATACTTGTCATTTCAAGTATGTTCTGTTATTTTTTAATTAATTTTGTAAAGAGATATATTATTGGGAGGATGAATTCACTATATAAAATTCTTCAATATAAAGCAATTCAATTACATGTGTTTGGTTTTAAGAATACCATAATGATTTAAAAAATGAAGACATCTGTAAGATAAACACAAACTTTGTTGAAGTTAATGCTCATCCACAATTCTAAATTTTTATCAATTTAAATCACTTATTTTTATATAAAATTTATTAGGACATGTATTTCTCTGTTTCAGGTGAAGAGTGTGGGACCCTTTCTCGTTCCCTTCTTCAAGACTGTAGCCATCTTTTTCGTTTTGTTTGGAGATGACAGCAGAGATGAATCAATATTCTTCTGCATCGTAAAATGCCTCCCAATTATCTCCCTGATGGGATTTGTGATCGTTCATGGCATGAACCAGACAGAATACTATCGCTACTCACGCCGAATTCTGATTGGTCTTGTTTTTTCCTGCTTAGGTGATGCCTTCTTGGTGTGGCCTGATTATTTTGAAGTGGGTATCTTCATGTTTGCCATAGCCCAGTTTTCCTATGCCCGGGCTTTTGGATGGCGTCCCAGGAAGATCCTCCATGGGCTTGGTTTTGCTGCTGTGGGAGCACTTGTCTACATGTTCCTGGCCCCAGCATTGGAAGGCATAATGCTGTACATTGTTGCAGCATACATCACCCTGATCTGCACTATGGCTTGGAGGGCAGTTGCTAGGGTGGAGTTCTACAATGACCTTTGGACCTGGACCAAACTCTGTGGATGCATTGGATCCATTCTGTTCGTTATCTCAGACCTCACCATTGCCGTTAACAAGTTCCGATTTCCTGTACCTTGCCAACATCAGATTGTCATGCTGACCTACTATGCTGCACAACTGGGGATATCCTTGTCTGTCATTGACAGCCCCATTGATGAGCTTCTAGAAAAGACCCTCAAAGTATCATAAAAAGGATCCATTTTGAACAACCCCTTGAGAATGGGGTAAGATTATGCCGGTTCATGCCATTTGGATCCATTTTGAACAACTCCTTAAGAAAGGGGTAAGATCATGCCAGTTCATGCCAAATGCATCTTACAGAGTTCAAAGTCATTGATCAAATTAGAATATGTATAAACTGTTGATTTATTGGTTAGTTATTGTTAATTAGTGTTATTTTACTGTTGAACTCTGCAGAGATTTGCAGATTTTGTTTTTTCTTCATTGAATTGTAATTTGTAGCTACAGTAGTGAAATTGTAGTCTTTTGTTGTGTTGAATGATTGAATTATATCTGTTACAAGTCATTTTTGTGTGTTTTAAATTGTGAATTGGTGATGTATATGTTGCTGAGGTTTGTTCCTGATAATGCTCATACATGTACATACACTGTATAACACTGAAAATTTATGATGCTTATAGATGTGAATAATGATTTCTCTCATATTCTTTTCTTTTTGAAAATCAATTGCAATTGCTTTAAGGTTATACTTACATAATAGTAGTAATCCACTTAATTGCTAAACATACAGATGGATGTTTTAAAATTTTCAGTGTTTAAAAGTATTTGTGAACAGTTTTATCTTTTAAATTCCCTTTTATTGTGAGAATTTATATTAAGAATCTGCATTTAAACAATTAACCGGTACATTTTTTACATGAATTTTTCATAATAATACCAATTTTGGTGCTATATTGTATATCTTGATAACCCAAACAAAAAAATGTCAATACCGTATAATCCCTATTTATCGCCCCGGGGGCTTAGAAAATTGTAAAAAGGGGGCGGTTATTTTGGTACTCTATTTATGATATTTAATGTCATATTTTATCTTCAAAAAATCTTTTGAAAAAAAAAAATAAATACAAGGAACCACTGAAATAATGTCTAACTTTACTGAAACTGAAGGTAATCCACCCAAATTATGCAAAATTATTCATTTTCCACTGAAAAATTGCATAATAGACAAGTTTAAATTCCACTTTCTTCAATATTTTGATACGATTCTCGTTGATTTTAATCACTGTACAGGGGGCCCTTATTTCCTGACAATTGAAAAAGACCTAAGGGGGCTCTTATAAGGGCAGGGGCGGTTAATAGGGATTGTTCGGTATGTGGGTATTAATATCAAGTAGACTGTGTTCATTTTGATTCATACATCC